TGGGATTAAAGGTGTACACCACCACCACCCAGCTTGTTTTGTTTTTTTTGAGACAGGGCTTTTCCATGTAGTTTTGGTGCCTGTCCTGGATCTCGCCCTGTAGACCAGGCTGGCCTCACAGAGATCCGCTTGGCTCTGCCTCCTGAGTTCTGGGATGAAAGGCGTGTGCCACTGCCTCACAGAGAATTCTGTAATTCTTAATAATTGCATACATGCCAGGCGTGGTAGCACCCAGCATTCAATAGGCAGAGGCAAGATCTCTGTGAGTTCAAGGCCTGCTTGGTCAACATAGAGAGTTCCAGGACAGCCAGGGCTACACAGGGAGGTACTGCCTCAAACAAAGATGAAAGAATTGCATGCACAACCCTTAAACATGTGCGTTCAGAAGGCGAGACTACCCAATTCGGGAGTATAATGAAAATCTAACCATTTCTCTCTATACCAACTATATGTAGTTTAAAAAAATATAACAGCTAGTTAATTAAAATGTTGAAGTTGGCTGGGCTTGAAACTACAGGCCTACAATCACAGTACTCCAAAAGCAGAGGGCTCAGAGTCAGAAGAATCAGTAGTTCAAGTCCAGCCTTAGCTATGTAGAAAGTTCAAAGTCAGCCTGGGCTGCATGAGACCCTGCATTTTAGAAAAACAAACAAACCAAACCTTGACTAAATAATTGGGCAGTGGTAGTACACACATTTAATCCTAGTACTTGGGAGGCAGAGTCAGGTGAATCTCTGAGTTCAAGGCCAAGCTGGTTTGCAAAGCAAGTTGCAGGACCAAAAAAAAAAAAAAAAGTCTTGGTAGAATACTAAGGCATAAATACAAATAGTGCCCAATGGCTGAAATATGATATAATTATAGAAGATGAAGATGAGACAATATCAATATTTCTCTTGAAATTGGCTGCTTAAGTGCAAATTAATTAAAATAAATAATTCCTCAGTCATATTTCAAGCGTTTGGTCCCTCAGGTGGCCCCGTGGTTGCTGTGCAGGATGAGGATGCTACAATTCAATTCCACCACCCCACCCCACCCCTCAACAGCCATGGGTGTATTCTGCCCTATTCCAGAACGTTCCCAGACTATGATTTACTTCCTCTTTATTTCTAGAGTTTTCCTGGAAGAAAACAAAGGCTGCATGCACCACCTTAATCAAATTAGTTGCAGCCCGTATCCAATTGCATTACCTTGCTTGCGGCTTGGAGATCAGGGGTGGGGGTGGGGAGCTCCTGCTCGTCAATATAGACAAGTCATAGACACTTCCTGATGTCAAAGGTGGCCACCTAATCCCTTCCTCCTCTCCCTTGTCGGGAGTGTAGCTGGTATGGTATCCATGGAAGACAATTTGTCAGTATTTACCAAAGCTCAAACATGCCCACCACCTGACCAAACTGCACTTCTGGAAACCCACCCCACTTAATCCACAAATGTGAGATGACTTATGGGTAAGTTACTCATTGTGGAGGCACCCATCATGGATCTGGAGGAGAGCCTAGCTCTGCGGCGTTGAAGCTCAGAGCATCAGAAGGGGTCCCGAATCACTCCTCTGTGCTCTGGATAAAACCTAGCCAGTCAGAAACCAGTGAATCCACAGAGATGAACTCACTCCTGCTTTCAAACCTCATCCGTGTCAGTAACAGGGGTTTAAGGGATTTTTTTTCCCAACAAGACCTAGTAGAGTTAATCTGCCAAGTTTAATCTTCCGTAGGAAAGAATGTAACCAATTAGCTTGTATGTGGAATGTTACAGTATGTGTGTTAAAATTCCAATGTATTTGGGGAGAAATGTTCGATGCAATAAAAACCATCTCCTGTAGCACAACTGCTCTTTCCAAAATATTTCATATAAATTAGTCTTTATGTCCTCAAGTCATACCCTTTTGGAAGTCGAGAATCAGCAGTTTAGGGCATAGCTAAGGGAACCTCTTCCAGGGGAGGGGTGTGTGGAATGTAAGCATTCTCCTGACCACAACCATGGGCTGGCCTCCAGAATCCTTGGGGCTTCAGCACTTTCCAAGTGAAAAGCTATGATTACCTTCAGTGAACACTTACCCAGCAAAAAAGCTTATTACAAAGTGAGCAGACTAGGCTGGGTCTCATTCATGAAGAAACACAGCCCAGAGCTGTGCAGTAGTTAGGGCTGGGCAAACATTGTTAATTGCAGGTGCCTACCTGAGCCTGGAGAGGAGGTACTGGGGAGCCAAGGAGCCAGGCTGGGCAGGCTTGGGAGTGTGTGGGAGGGGCAAGGAGGAGGAGGGGGGGAGGGGGGGGGGGGACGGGACGGGACGGGACGGGACAGACAGACAGACAGACCGGGAGGGGGAGGGATTTCTGTGCAGCCTATCATAACACTGACCCCAAAGAATGGAGGGTGTAGCAAGCCCTGTGCCAGAACAGATGCAACTCTATCAGTTTTCATCCCCAAGTCAACAATACATAGCACACACCTTACACAGCTAGGTAAGGAAACCGCAAGAGCCAAAATAATGGATTATACAAACAGGAAAAACCATTTAAGCCAACATTTGTGTTAGCCCTTGTTTCGTGTGGCTTTGTGGAAAGCATGGCTTTATCTGAAGAATGCCAAGGGTGAAACCTAGGTGAGCCACGGCGTCTAGGAACAATGATTAACAGCCATTCACAGGAGGCATGGATGAAGAGCTTCGAACCAAAGCTGGGATTCTCCCGGGATCTGACAAAGTCACGCTGGCCATCTGTGAGCGACACTTACCTGCTTGTTCACAAGGCTGGCGGGTCATCACGGTAAACATCTTCTCTCCCGGCTGAGGGGGAAAGAATACAGAAGAGTGTGGTCAGCTCCTGACTTCGGAAGTTCAAAAACTAACTTGCAGGCATTAATATCAAACGCACGGCAGCTCCTCTAAATCGAGCCTCTTTGGGAACAGTGCACTCAAACCCAGAGCTCCAGGGACCAATGGAAACTGGACCCTCAACCCCAGCGTCATCCTCTCCCCAAATGTAAAGCTGGAAGAGTGGATATGCTAAAACTTTAACTAGAGAGCAATTTTGAAAATAAAACCACAAAGAAGCTGTGTGTGTTTTTTCCTTTTTCTTTTCTCCTGTAGGTCGCTCCACCTGTGAACAGCACAGGGGCACCACAAACCCTCCTCCTAGGAACATTCACCAGACTCGGGCTGGGCTGTACCTCAAAGCACACCAGCAAAGCCGGTTCGCATTGGGGTGTGCTGGTGACTGCCAGCATGCAGTCACCCCTTAAAGACCTGCGCGGTGTCTCCAGCTCCCGGAGCGGAACACCAGCAGACAGCTGTCAGGTCCTGGGAATCAGTGTGGGGACCCGGGAGTTGGCTGGTCCCCGGCATCTGCAGGTCTTGGGGTGCTCCATGACGCGGTGTCCCCTCCCAGCCAGATGACAGTGCCTAGCCCCCGGGTTTGTCTCCTTGCCTGTGGCCCTCTGCGGGAAGCGATGGCCAGTCCTTCCCTCCCTGCTCCCTGCCGTCCGCAGCCTGCTCCATCCCACCCCTACGCGCGGGTCCAGACCTTACCTGCGCGCTGCGCTCGCTCGCTGCGGGTCGCTGAAAGGCGGCGGCGCCTCCAGGGTGCGGGAATTACGGGGAGTCCGGGAGGCGGGGCGAGGCGGCGTGGGTGGCGCAGTCTGCGGGGACCGCCTCTGCGCTGAGGCCAGGACCTCTTCACCTTCCCTGGCTCCTCCCTCTCACTTCACCCCAGCTTGTCCTGGAAGAGGATGGAAGGGGTCAGCGCCACGTGGGGGACAACCAATCCTTGCCAGCCCCTGTATTAGTTACTACCCGCGTTGCTAAGACAGAATACCTGACAAGCAACTTGAAGAAAAGGTGACTCAGGGCTGTAGGGTACCATCCATTACCGCGGGGAAGGCGCGTCGGCAGGAGCTTGGGCAGCTGGTCACATGGCATCTGCAGTCAGATTCCAGAGAGATGAATGCTGGTGCCCAGCTCACTTCCCCCTTTTTATTTAGATCAGGACCCCAGCCTAAGGCATTGGTGCCACCCTCATTCAGGGTGGGTCTTCCCACACCAGTTAGCCCAGTCTGGAAAACCAGTCTCAGACATGCTCGGTTTGTCTCCTAGGTGATGCTAGATGCTATTAAGCTGACAGTGTTAATTATCACAGTGTCCCCCCAGGACCCAGCCAGATACCTCTCCACATCTTTAGCTTCTAACTCTCTGGGCAGTCCCCTGAGCCCAAGACAGAAGAGGGGGTGATGTGACCTTGCCCCCAGTCCCAAGGGACCCTGAGAGGGAGTGAAGTACCCTTTGCCAGCCCTCCAACTGTCAAGACAAATAACCTTTTTAAAGAAGAGGTTTTTATTATGCTTATTCGTGTGGGTGCCTGCATGAGTTTATGGGTACCGTGTGTGTGGGTACTCATGGGATTTCAGATCCTCTCAAACAGGAGTCACAGGCAGTTGTGAGCTACCATGTGGGTGCTGAGGATTGAACCCAGGTCTTCTGGAAGAGTAACCAGTGCTCTTAATTGATGATCGTCTCTCCAGCCCCGTTTTTTTTTTTTTTTTTTTTT